GTTGTTTCATCTTTTTTCTTTTTTTTTCTAAGACAGCTCGAAGTTTGCAAAAAGACGATTTCCATATTTCGAAAAAATGTAGATAATAATTTATTTATTATGAACGTTTTTTTATGATTAGGTTTAAATTTTTGTTAGGTTAAGTTAAAAAACGGGATAAAACGTAGAGATAATTTTTTTAATAATTGTAATTTTAAAACTCCGATGTTAATTGAATAGAAATAGAAACATAAATATGACAGAGATTTATTAATAATATAAATATAATGTTATATTATATATTTATATTACATATATTATATTTATTATATTATATTATTAATAATAAAAATATAATTTATTTATTTATTTATTTTTTAATTTTCAGCGAGAAACCGCTATTCCCTATTTCTCTCGACGAACGATAGACAGGTCGTTTATCTTGCGCGCGATTCTTTCTTTTGACATTGAAAGAAAGAAAGAAAGAAAAAAAAAAAAGAAAAACTTATCCAACAAAGCGATTCATTTTCATTTATTCTCGAGAACGATGTTATATTTTAGGCGCGATAAACACGGATTTTCCTGTTCACACTTTATCCGCGAGTGTCTGGAATTAAAAATGGGCGGCGTAATAGGAAAAGGCGGACGATAAATCGATTTTACGGAGCGATACCGGCGCACCGCTTAGCATAATCATACGTGACGCGATAGATCGTATTTGACTTTCGTCATCGTCGTCGAATATCTTTGATATTCGCTTCAAACGATGAAACGTCTCTGTTCCTTTTCAAAAAGAAAAAAAAAAACGTTAATAAAATCTGGGATTCGCATTCGTACGCGGCCATAATAATAATAATAATAATAATAAAGATGGCCGGCCAAGATAAACGCACAAGTTTAATTAATATCGATGAAACGCATGAAGGGGGCGCGCAAGTACGAAGGAGGAAACGTGGCGCTCCGGGCAATGATAATGAAGCGTACCTTATAAAATCTCCCTTTCGCCAACCTTCCGATCGATCCTTGTCCTTCTTCCCTTTTTTTTCTTTCTTTTTTTTTTTTTTTTTTTGCTCCAACTTATTCCATCCGGATAAAAATTAAGATCCCTATGGGGGGAAAA